AAGACAGTTTGATGCCTGAACACTTGAACAATTTTATCACTGTAACAATCCAATTATGTTATATAAGGATCATATTTAATGATGAGGTCAGAGTACTATTAATTATGTCTTCATTGCCGGAGAATTGGCCATAACGGCGAGTAACCTTTCAGGGAATATAAAGTTGAAATTTGATGATATCACGAGGTTGGTGTTGAATAAAGAAGTTCACAGAAAGATAATGAATTGTGAATCTTCATGTTCAATATTGAATGCTAAAAATAGAGAATGAATCTGGACAGGAATATAGGCAAAGATAAATTCAAGTCCAAAATAAGAAACTCCGTCAAACAAAGGAAATGGTAGTGAAGAATGTTGGAACTGCAAAAAGAAAGAGTATTTCAAGCAGGATTATAAAGCTCTAAAGAAGGCTAGTAGTAGAGGAAATAAAGTGAATCACTTTATAAATGCCTCTATAGTAGAAATCCAAGGTGACCCCTTGTATTATTTATCCCTAGTCATTGTTAAATCGTAGATAATAGATTCAAATATCTCTTTTCACATACACCCCAACTAGAAGGTATTTAGAAATCACTCAAAGTGATCTACAAAAGTTTTATTTGGGAGGCAGTAAGTTGTGCAGTATTGGAGAAAAGGGTGATGTGGATATCGAATTGCCAAACACTAGAAGCTTACTAAAGTTATACATTTCTAAGTTTGAAGAGAAATCTCATCTATGTGAGACAGATGTCAAAGTCAGGGTTTGTGACTACTTTCACCGGTGATTTGTGAAAGATGACCAAATGACAATGATGATGGCTTGGGGCAGCATTAAAGGCACTCTTCACCTGATCAAAGAAACAACAAATTTCATTAGTATGACTAGAACCAAGGTGGATGCAAGTCTATGAAACCGTAGGCTTGGCCATATGAGCAAGGCCCCTACTTTCACAAAATAAACTTCAGGGTTTAAAATTAATAGATTTGGATTTCTGTAAAGATTGTATATTTCACAAGCAAAAGAAAGTTTTTTTCTTAAAAGTGGGTTAATGGTGAGTCAAAGAAACTGGAGTTAGTGTATATTGATGTATGGAGTTCTTCTCTAGTATAAATCATTGAAGGTTCCCACTTATTTGTCTTATTTATTAATGATCACACAAAAAATGTATGAGTTTATCTTAAAGCAAAAATTAAGCATATACGTAGTATTTAAGATGTGGAAGGCTATGATAGAAAATGAGATATACTTGAAGTAAAAGTGTATCAGAGCAAATGATGGGTGTATCATGATAAAAAATTTAGGAATTTTTATGCTATTGAGGGGACCAAACTTGAGTTTACTATCCCAATAACTTCACATCAGAATGGATTAGCTGAGCATACGAAAATAATCACAGAGCGTGCTAGGAATATGAGACCACATCCAGGCTTGTTAAAATAGTTTTAGACTAAAGCAGTAAATACATATGTCTATATGAAACATTATCCATCAGTATCTCTGAAGGAGGGCTTACCTGGAGAAGCCCGGAGTGCCAAGAAGGTAAACCTATCTCTTTTAAAATTAATTGGGTGTTATGCATATGTGCATGTCGATATAGGGTCCAAGAGCAAGCTTGACTTGAAATATGTCAAATGTACCTTTATGTATATGACTTAGATGAGTTTGAGAATAATTTTAGGAACAATCATAATCATAAATTTATCAAGAGCAGAGATATCACTTGAAATAGAGATGTACAAGGACAATGTTAGAACTCAGGATACTCAATAGTTACTTCTAAATAGTCCAAGTATGTTGATTAGGAGGGTGAAGAAAAAATATGTACTCAATCAGATGGAGCACATGGAGTTTCTTAGTTAGCTGCTATTAAAGTAAGAAGATCTGATAGAGTGATATAACCGGTACAATTGTATTTTCTTTTGTTACACAATTTATTACCAACTGATAGTTATGAACCAGAGTGCCTTAAAGAGGACACTCAACTTGAAAATTTAAGAGAGTGGGTGCTTGTCATTGATAATAAAATATAGTTTGCAGAGTCAAAACAAAAAAATGAAGATTTAGAGGAGAAATTATACATGGTGCTGCCACAAGATTACACGGTTTTAGTTAGGTTGAAGAAGAGTCTCTATGGCTTGAAGCAAGCCCTCAGATAGTGGTACAAGAGGTTTAATAGGTCATGTCAGATGTGGGTACATGAAGTGCCAGACCGATTATTACTGCTTCATCAAATACTTCAATAATTGTTATATCTTGCTCCTTTTATATGTGAATGACATGCTTATTGTAGGGGCATATTTAGAGTAAATTAGGAACTAAAAAGAACACTTATCAATTGAGTTCGAGATGAAAAATTTTGGTTTAACAAAGAAAAATCCTCGGGATGAGAATTAACAGGGACATGACTACTGGTATATTGAAGTTGTCTCAGATAGAGTATGTTGAGAAAATTTTATAGATGTTCAACATGTGTGAGGCAAAACCAGTTTGCACCCTCTTAGGTAGTCACTTCAAGCTCTAACGAGCAATCTCCTAAGTTTGAAGCTGAGCAAGTATAGATGGGAAGAACTTCATGTGCTTCATTAGTTGGAAGTTTGATGTATGTTACGATTTGTACTAAATCAGATTTTGCGTATGCAGTGAGAGTAGTCAATAAGTATATGGGTAATTCAAGAAAACATCATGGGGAGATAGTGAAGTGGATTCTCAAGTTTTTGAGAGGAATAATCAACACATCGCTTTGCTATGGAAATACATGAATCACTCTACAAACATTTGCAGAATTAGATCTGGCAAGTATTCTTGGAGAAGATACATACAACTCAAAATTCCATGGTCATGTTGACAAAGGTGGTGATTATCGAAAAACTAGAGCTATGCTTGGCTTCATTGGAGTACTTGAAGGTTGAGATGAGGGAGACCTACACCACGGTACGTGAATATGAAGATGGTACAGATGGAGATACATATAAGGAGGACACGTGTTGAGTGCTATCTTTGAAGAAAACACACCCCACAATTCTCCATCATAAAATAACATATAATAGTAAGATTATAAATTCGTACTCTGTTAAGGGACATTGAAATAAATAAATACATTTTGAGATCTCTTATTTATAAAATAAGCTACTAATAACTTCATCATTCATGAAGATAATTAGAAGAGATACGCCTCATAGTCATAAGATATACCTCCCTTAAAATAAACCATTATCAATCAGATGATAAATTTTCTTAGAGGCTAAACTATGATTTATATTATTTGCTAGGAAGATTCATCTACTTATCACATACCCAATTCCTATGTATTAACATATAAACCATCTATACTTCAATTTTTACATACATATCACCCAACCTATGCTAAAAACATAGGAATCATATGATCAATACATAAAAAGTAAAGTTTAGGTGGTTGATCCTTTAATACAGAGGAATGAGTTGGTACATATGTAAAGACCTATTTCCTAAAATGCACAAATACATAAAACTCATGTTATTATAGGATGCAAGGAGGGATTGATAAACATAACTTTTCTTTCATATTAAGAAAAAAAGATATATCAGCAATGACTAATCTTTCTAGACAATCTTAATTGACAACATAAACTTCTTTAATTTTATTCCAGCCAGCAAGCTGTCTGCTCTTACAAGCCCCTTCACTATTGTCACTCTTTAAATGCAGCATTGATTTTAATTCATTCTTGTTTTATTGGCTGACAGAGAAACTAAAATATTGTTCATATTCTGAAGTTTAAAATAATAGAAATGCTGAATCAGCCTGAATGCTTGTGAGCAATGTGGGGGTACACAAGAGCCCCAAAATAAAATGGTGAAGTTTTAAAAATAAAGGTTAGTTAACTAAAAGCCAGATTTTCTAAGGACTGATTTGTGATTTTTTTAGAGCTTAGAACGTGAGGCTTTTTGGTTTGATCAGATTACCAGCTAGGATATGACAAAAGCTCAGCACAACAAGCCTTTCAAAAGCCGTTTTAAGCAAAAAAGATTCCCCTGAAATCAACAAATTTTATCGATTGTTTGTTTCTGTAGTCTCACATGATTGATTGGAGCTGGAAACATTTTTTTGAAAGAGAGAAATTATTTGATTCCTGGAGGCATGTTGTTGAGATATTAATATTGCTTTAAAATTTTTCAGATTTTTGTACAGAATTCTGAAAGATAATTTGTTTTCTTAAATGATGTGTCATGTTTACTAGCAATAAAATGAGTCCAGAGATGTGCATTTTTTTGAAAGAGAGAAATTATTTGATTCTTGGAGGCATGTTGTTGAGATACTAATATTGCTTTAAAATTTTTCAGATTTTTGTGCAGAATTCTGAAAGATAATTTCTTTTCTTAAATGATGTTTCATGTTTACTAGCAATAAAATGAGTCCAGAGATGTAACAATATAATAAATACTTATCTTCAATAATGCAAAAAAAAAAGGAATTTACACACATTCCTCACAATTCTTATGAATTTACATATGTAAGTCCCAAAGTCTGATATTTACATTTATCACCCATTGCTGTCATAAGAAAAAGATAACGATGGGGATAATTTTGATCGTACGTAAAATATTTGTAAATATGAATGTGTAAGTATTCAATACGTCAATACATAAGACTTGTTTGGTATGTGTGTAAAACCCACAAAAAAAATTATAATATTGAATTTAAGTATTCAAGTTAAGAAAATACTGTTGAGAAGTTGTTTATGTGTAAATCTTGAAATTATACTCTAAGAAGTAACTTTCCAAGATAAATTTAGTCCCTTGTGGAAGATTGCAGGAGTTTGCATGTAATTTTCTACTGCCACCAAACATGCAGAAAACAACTATATGATCTGATGATAAAATGGGAATTTAAAACTTTATAGGAGATGTTATGCTGAGAAGCTACAAAGATCCTTTCAAGGCAAACAAAGACACTTTTGAGGTACTTCTAATAGAAAGAAAAATTAAAAAAAAAAAACATAAGCACTACAAGAGATTGGCAGTTAATAGAGGAGAGCACAACTTTTAAAGCAAACAAAAAAACTCAGAATGAGCACTCTGTTGTGAAAAATGGCAGGAGCCATTGTTTCATTAGAGAGCTTTAAAACCAACAATAAAAAGAAAATACAACAGATGGCTGGAGGGCAAAACTAGTGCTGGAGTCAAAGAACTGCTATCTTCCCTTCTCTTCTCTTCGCTTCTCTGGTTATAATCTCACACTTCAGTGCCTGAAACACACAAACCAAATTGGTATTAAAGGATGCAATTACTGAAAAAACTATTCAAAGTAAATAGAAAGAAAAATGCATAAGGAATTCTTACAGGGAATTTTATAGTAATGGTTTATGAACACAGATTTCAATTGTAAAAATAATTTCTTAGAGGAGAAGATCAGTCACCAGAATCACGAGGCGCATTGCATCGAAAGCATTCCATTCTGCTTGCAAAGTTATGCTCATTGCAACCAGACCTGAACATATATAAACAGAATTATTAGCCCAATCCAACTGGTGTTCACCTTAGTCAAATAACAAGAACATGAGGAAGAAACACACCTAGTGCAAATCCAGTCACCGGATTTCCATCCGGAACGGCCACTGCCACCGCCACCACCGCCGCCAAAACCATAACCTCGTGGGCGTGGCGCATCACCACCATCCAAGTTTCCAATGCCAACTGAAGTGTCCTCCTTGAACCCACCACATTTGAAGCAACTAGAGCGACTCGCAAAGTTATGAGCACCACACTGGCAATACCAGTCACCGGGTCTAACATCAGAACCAGTACTGAATACAAAGGAAGAGCCACCGCGGCCACCACCAAAGCTACCGTAATCGGTGCGGTCGCCGCCGCCTGACCGTGGGTCACCGCAGCGCTGGCATGAGTCCCTCCTGCTGTGGCATGACCTGCAGTTCCAGTCTCCTGGCTTCCTGTTCATCTTAAAGCACCCTAACACATTGAAATTATAATAAAAATCTTAAATGAGAAGCCTGAAGAGTGATAGCAGAATAACAGCTGAAAGAGATGTAGTTTAACAATTATTATATGAAGCTACATGCCAAGTTCAGTAAGACCAAGTGATAGTTCTGGTTTATGATTGAACAATAGCTGAATAAAGACCATGGAGAAGGGTAGAGTAGAATGCTCACCAGATATGAATGCTGTAGTGTATGGAAGGCTATCAAAGCCTGTAGTTTGGTTTGATTGTGTGGTGAAAGTAGGGAATTGAGTAGCTTTTATAGTTGCACAAAACTCTATTATTGAGAATCAAGAGTGGGTTCGAAATATGGTGCTGTTCCCATCTTTTTTTTTTTTTACTGCACTCTACCTGAACAATGGAATCGCATAAAGCCAAAAGGGAGGTAAAGAGGATAAAGGGCATTGAGAAGTATGCCAAGGATAGGAAAAATTATGGAGGGTATCGAGGGCCATGCTACATCTTTTTATACATCAATGAATGGGGGTAATGATCTAGTGCATGTGAATAATCATTATAAGAAGTTCAAACACACCCCTGATTTCCATGTTTTCCTAATCTATGGAATTTGTTTAAAGCCATGAAACATCATTTTAAGTAAGGAAATTCCAGCTCTAAATGAGTTGGTAGGATGGGGAGAATGGTTCCTGTATTTGCCAACTTCATATAATAGTATACTAATTTGATTAATCACATCATTATTATTATTTTTTTGTTTTTTTAACGTAAGGTGCTAAGAACCAGCTTAGGCATTTTTCCAAGTGGAATGGGGCACTTGAAAAGAATTAACTCCATCACTTAAATGTTTTTTTGAAGGTTGATGGAAATTATTTAAGATTATTAAGCCATAATCATTCAATTAAAGCGAGGAAGGAAAATTATTAGTTTTCATGTTTCATTGTAGTCTAAGTTCAAATTTTTTTGGTAATTAAGTAGCTTTAAACAAACATACTAAGGAGCTGTATGGGAAAAGATGACATTTAAGTTATTAGGATTTAGTAAATCTCATAAATTTGGATTTACTAAATTCTAAATGGTTTGAACCAGAAAACTTTTTTGCAATGGATTTATTAAATACTATAAATTTAGCATAATTATTTGGTAAGTAAAACAAAGTGAATAACTCTTCTTTCAAATCCTATAAATATTGTAAATCTACCGATTTTTGGGATTTAGTAAATCCAGGATTTACGGCCGAAAACGGTGAAATCCAGGTTTATTAAATCCGCGGCTTTCTTTTACCCAAAATGACCACCTGGCAAGATTTAACCTACATCTACGTAAAATCTTGCTCTAAATCCGTTGCCAGATAACCCCTAAACTAGAGTTTGTGGCAGGCACAGCCTAGTGATAGTCTAACACACTCATCTATTCTGACCTTTTCCATCATTCATCTCTCATTTTCTCTATTGAATTTCACCCTCTCTTTTACTGTTTCATCATAAAGATTTACTAACTGAACTTGAAGCTCTTGCACCAACAATTTGTAGAAATTATTTCCATGTATCATTCTTACTTAAACTCAAAAGAGACTTAGCACGGCATAGCTAGCTAGTCGTTATATGCGGATGTACCGCCCCCGAGTATTGCAAGTTGTAGATGCCATGACTTCCCTGCTGATGTGAAGTTGAGTTGCACACTACCACTAGAATTGATACCCATTTGGACAATCAAATTCTTATCTTTTTTTTATTCGTGATTTTCTTTAACAGATGAGCTTATTGATATGCGGTCCACAAATGAAAGCGACAAGAACCAGGTGCCTTATTGTTGTCCTATGTTAAAATAGAATGGAATAATGAAAATGCATCCTAATCTCATCTGAACATGTGAATATTCCTTATTCCCCCCCCAAAAAAAAAAACATCATCAAACCCCCAACCCAACATGTAAGGATTTCAATTCATACAAACACATACAACAAATGCCTACACAGATGTATATGCTCATGTTCTCGTGTGTATATGCATTAGTAGAGCATAGAGACAAATAGAATACAAATCATTAATCTCTTGAGTACAACATTTGTTTTTTTAACAGAGGGAAGCTTCCTTTAATTTGAGTTTATCCGCAAATGGGTTCAAAAGTAAAGGAAAACTGGTGAGTTTCGATAAAGTTGATGTTAGAAGTAGTCTTCGAGGAATGATTTTGACCATCTTTCCCTTTGTTTTAGATCTCCCTCCCTCTTCTTATCCTGAATGATTATTGTTATTCTACTCCTCTTACTTTCACCCTTTTCTTTTTCAAACCCTTACGTTTTCATTTTGAATGCCTAGCTTTAGCTTTACTTCTCTCTATCTCTCTCGTGCTGCAAGTGAAGGCAAGTTTCAAAACCTTGCAATAACCAGCCCTCCATTCTCTTGGGGTCCGTTAAAGAGGAAGTGGCATACTGTGATAAAGGAAAAAAACAAAGAAGAAAATTAAAAAAAGGAGAAAAGCAATGACACATTAGGAGAAAGAGAAGGTGGGCTGATTCGATTGTCTTTGGGAAATGTATCCTTGCATGATCATGGTTAGTGAGGAGAGTTTTGATGACATAACATGCTTTTCTTCTCCTTTTTCCCCTCCACCACTATCTTTGCCTTTTATGGCAACTAATACTATAATGACCTCTAGGTGTGATATTTAAGACAAAAGCTTTTTAAGAGAGGATCAATCTTTCATAAAGGCATACTTGTTTTAAATATATGGATTTCCAACAAGACCATATAAGCAACCAAAGATCTCTACTAGAAATATATAGGCAAGGATAAAGCTATCAATGCACGAATTTATGACAATAACTAGCTATGTGACTGCTAAATTGATTCATCTTGTAAAAGATAAAGTTGATTAATGCCAGACTAATTATGTTCAAATCTAATTCTTCATCCTCCCCACACTTTAAGCTTAAAAATAACAAATTTTGCACCGATATATAATTGAACAACTTTTATATTGAAATATCTTATTTCCATGAGAGATTGTTCTCCTATTTCTTAGCAAAAGGCCTTCAAGCTGAAACACTTTCTGTTAGTGAAGCATCGTATTTATATTTGGTCATGGGGAAGACAAGTCTAATGCAAGACGAGTTTGATTGATCCTCATATCATAAAGTAACTCATATGATACCAGTTTTTTAAATGCAAATCTAAATCAATTCAGAAGTAAAACATTTTTCTTCTATTATATATATATACATCTTATATCATTCAATCATCTCTTTAAATAAATGAGAATTTAGATTGATTTAAATTTTATAAAAATGAAATAGGGAATTAGAGAAATAATGCGAGACTACTAATTCATAAAAATATAAGATTATTTATCCTCATGCCTCTTACATTATTCATCCATATCCTTAAATAATTGAGATTCCATGTGGATTTTAACTTTTATGAATATGATATATAAAGATGAAAAAGGCGGATGATGGGCTAGTTGAATATTTAAAAAAAAAGATAGATGAGTAATATAAAATATATGGGATAAGTTTTACCATACTATATATATATATATATATATAAATATATATATATATGCCAAACTTGGACCATCAAAAGTTTGAGCTGATAAGAGTAGGGGTGTACATGCTCAGCTCGTGTTCGGCTTGTTTATATTTCGAGCTCAAAAATTGTGTTTGTGTTCGGCTCATTTGCTTAGTGAGCCGAACATGAGCCGTTCACGAACAAAAAAATCGTTTTGACAACCCTAATCACATAGCCATAAGATGTTAAGGATTGGGACAAGATTTAAAATATTATTTGAATCTAAATTAATAATTTTTATTCTATTTTCTTTATTAATACTTTTAATTGATTATAAATCTTTGTAGCCTTGTAGTCAATAATTTTTTTTAAAAATACTACTCATCAAAGATATATATATAATTGATTAGTAGTATTTCGAGCCAAAATGAGCCGAACACGAAATTTCTAGCCAAAACGAGCCGAACACGAACGAACACATCTTAGTTTGTGTTCGGATCGTTAACTTATCGAACAAAATTAACGAGCCGAACACGAGCTTCTTAACGAGCCGAACACCAGCTGTTCGCGAACAACGAGCCGTTTTGACAGCCTTAGATAAGAGAGGGTATGATGTATTTGGCCCAAAGGCCACATTGGCTGCCGTGCCTAGATAAATAGGCCACTATTGTGGGATTTCAAAAAATTTTGGGATAGACTAACATCCCAATAAAAAATGTTTTGGCCAATTGGCAATGCATGATATCAAAGCAATGATAAAAATTTCCATTAGTTTTTTGACATGGCTACACAATCTTGCGTTAACCATTAGTACATAAATGCAGTATGCACATTTTTCACATACATACTACTCAAACATCATTTGTCACAGACATCATATCAAAAAAGTATTTATGTATTAAATAAGTAATACATGATTATTAAAAGAAATCTTTTTATAAAATCACATTTTTTTTTTTGAATTAATGATAATTTGAAACTTATAAATGAGTGTTGAATGAGATGGTTGAATTAAATATTAAGCAATTTTTTTTTAATTAATTCATTTTAGAGAGTTATTATTACTAATTGTATTATTTTCAGAGAATATTTGAAAGAATAATACAGAAAATTCAAACACTGCAGGAAAAAGCTATCTTTTTGCTGAAATATCATGTGATTTTCTCAATCAGTATTTTAGCTAGAAGTTTTCAAGCTAGCACTCTGGTGTGCAATTGCCTGTTGTATGTTGGCTGAAACTTCAGTTAGATTAGTTTATCAATTGAATACCAGTTGATATTTTGTTTGGTAAATGAAATGACTTAAATGCGGCTGATTTACCAGCTAAATTCGGTCAAAAATAAAGGTTTGTTTGGGGTAGCTGCAACTCATTAAAAAGTCACTGAAGAATAATTTGATGTTGCAAAAAACTACAGTGATTATATATATATATATATATATATATATATAGATATAAAGTTAGATCACATATAGAAGTTGCTTCCGCATCTAGCTAGGGCCGGTGGAAAATGCTGATTTCAACACAGTTTTTTAAAAAAGTTGCTAAAACACATTTTATCCAAACGGGCAAAACTGAGGTCACCGCACTGCTGCCCCAAACAGACTCTAAGTACAGACTGAAAATTTAATGGGTAATCAACCGCAACTCATAATTTAATCAAACCCGAGAACACAAAACCCGTACTTCTCCCTTTTTGCTCTCTTGTTCTCTCTTGGCTTGGTTTTCTCTCATGAGTGTTTTACTTGGCGTTGGGGAGGTTCTCGAGGGAGATTGGCGGGGACTTGGCGACTAATTTTTTCATGAGTAAGGTATACCAAACTAATGCATTTAATACGAGTAAGATGTAAAGGAGTAGTGTTTTATAATTGAAGTTTAGGTTTTAATGATGTTTAGGGTGTGTTCTGTATTTTGTCTTTTATGTTTATTATGAACATTGCATTTAAACCCAA